TACTACAATTGCCACAGATTTTCAAGTTGGTATTGTTGTATTAGCTCATTGGATTTCACGTAGAACAACAACGGTTCCTGGTTCGAGCGAAGAAGCGGAAACTACCTTAAAGGAACGAAACAGCTGCCCACTACTCTATATGTGGTGTTCCTAGCCTACGGGAAGTTGCCAGCCACGGGGCGATGCGTTACAGTTTCTGGGCAAGGAACCACAGGCCAATCGTGCGCACCAATCAGAAGTAGTGTGGTTCAGATAGAGGCTATATGACATCAACAATACGCACGCCGATTGGTGGATGTCTGTGTAATCAATAAACTTCATTTGTACGTTATTTAGTTCTATTAATTTCCTTCAATGAACTGCTACTTATGTGACCTTTTTCTTACCTCTCGGGGACAAGAGACACCGTTGTCCAAGTACTAGTACGATTTAGCATTTCTATTGCGTCCTATATTTGTGATTCTTGATTCGTAATTCGTGATCTAGGCCTACTTTGACTACTACATTTTAACACACAAACTCGTAAGGTTTACTCTTATCAAATCGCTCACTTCGCTATATCCTTTGGGTATTAAGAAAAAGGCTTTTTAAACCACGAGTATGCTAAAACGACAGTACTAATGTTTTTTCCTATCTCTGTATTGCGTTTTTATCTATCCCTTCTATTCCTCGACAGGATAACCACAACTACATGCATACATCACCCCTGTGAATTTCTCAAGGCAAAATTTTGTTGTACAACATTTTCTCCCCTTTCTCTTTGCCTTGGCAGGTTCCCAACCCGAAACATTTGTTGTGCACCACATTCGAGCTGCGGTCACGAAATCCCAGTGTATCCCGGTGGTCTTATTTGGAAATGCAGTTAAATCAAACCGGCACTCCTCCCGGAAGTGACCTATTCACCTCATTCATTCTGATCACTCATGAACGAGGAGAGCTCCCGTTCAGCGCGTACGATCGCCACATACAGACCAGCCTGATCCCCGGCTCAGACGTGTCTGTCTACTTTTCCAAATCAATCACAGCCCGTTTAAATACGGCTCGCAATCCGTGTCACGTGAGCCCGGATATAAGTTTACTCCAATCCGGGTCGGAATCAAGCCAGGCGAGTGGTGGTGCTTTAGACGGGGTGGATGGAAAGCTGAACGCTTTCGGGATGATAGAGGATACCGAAACAGTCCGTCCGGGGAACAAAGATGCATGGGAACTGGATTTTCTCGATCAACTTCGAATGAATCGAACAATACGGACACAACCGCATCTGAGCTCGACCAATATGGCCACATTGAAAGGCAGCACTGTCAAACTGTTTGGCACCACTTTCTTCTACAGTCGCGAATCCTGTGGATGGGCTGAATGCTCCCGAAAAGTACGTCAAGTGTGCAATTGTTCTTCCGTGGTCGAATTATGGAGCTATAAAATGCGCGGGTGCGAACACGTGGAAGCATGTGAACGTGCCGAATGTCAAGTCAAACAGATCTCCTACAAAACATGTCCGCTGGCTTGTGTGGTGGCAAAATTTGTTAAGCATAACACAATCACCGAGACCGGATCGGAAGCGAATCTGGCCCCCGGGGCAATCCAAGTGAAACTGGTCCGAAGTGAAGCGGTCCAAGTGGCAACGGAGGAAGAAATTTTCTCACTGGCCAAATTATTCTCCGAAGTCGGCGGTTTGTGCTCACTGTTCATCGGTTTCAGTTGTATCTTTCTATTCGAACTGGTTGAGGCAATCATTCTGATGTACAAAGATGGAAAACCGCCAAACAGGGAACCGAGCGGAACCACTAACCTCGCGAATGCCAGTACTGCACGCCTAGTTCTATCCAATCATGATATTCGTTCGAGTAGTGGTGGTCACCGAAAACCCGTTCGATCCGGGGATATGAGCAGTGTGGTGGAAAATCCCGCAGCAGAAGCAGCAGCAGCAGCGGTTGATGATGAATCTGCGGTAAATACGGCATCGTTTCTGCATAGGAATGGGAAAGCAGGTGGAACGACGACTGAGACTCATGTGTGTACAGAAGAAGAACAAGAACAAGAAAAACAATCGGCCAATGGTCTCGGTTGTGAATTTCCTCCAATGAACGGAACGGGTCTGTCGAATGTCAGAGAGACCATCACAACTCGTCTTAAGCCGTATCAGCCCACATGGGAAGGGAATGTGCTGATTCTCCCGGTATGTTTTTTACCGGGAGGATTGTTATCAANTATCAATACGTCACAGATATTTATCCACAACCAGTAATGGCACGCGCGAAAATTTAGAACAGGACACAGGAAACCGATCTGATGATGTTGAAGGTAAGTTATCACTCCATATATGACGAGTAGCGGACTATTTTCCATTCTTGATTTCAGCGAAGCTGAAAGAGTTACACAAGCGAATAACGCTGTTAGTCAGTAGGGGTTCAAGAAACTGTACAATTGCCGAAACATTATACAATGTAGGACCAGATGAATGAATAGACAGCCGATAGTCTATACCGATTCTTCCAGAGAATGTGTTGTGTCAGGTATTTTGTGGGTAAATAACTGAACAGTTCAATACTCTCATCTGATTGGCTGGAGCGAATAGACATTAAAACAGAGTAGTTCCGCAACATTAGTCAATTGATCAATCAGGCCTTGGGCACGCATGAAGAACCTGTCAGTAAACTGCCTGAAACAGAATGAGTTCAGATTCCCTTGATCGGCAATCTCTAGCACGATCTATGAAGTGACAAATTAGACAAGACTAATTGGGGAAAAAAGCTGGTCGTATTGGTGAATAATTTGACTACATTTTCACGACTACCTATTACTAAAGGACACTTTGGTGATCTGGGTCCCTGGGGCGGGACATTTTCACACAAAGTGGTTGGTGACGAGATCCGTTCAGCTGATTATTCAATCGCGATTGCGTAACCGGATTCCGTAAATGGATTGCATTCCTAGACATTCCACTTGCAAGTTCACCATGTGCGCACATTTTAACCCACTCACCTGACGATATCCATGGGAGAATCATGAGTCGAGGATACGAAGTGGTGTTACTCATCAGCATTTGGCTTTTTATTCGAGGATGCACAACTAAGTGCAAACTGCAAGGTGGCAAAGTAACTGTGACTTTAAAAAATTCAGAATAACAATCGGACTAAAACAAAAACAGGGAATAGCGTGGTTGGTTGCAACCCCGATATTGTGTCCCGTTTAAGTGAATAAGCAGGCAGGCAGTTATGCCAGACGTCTATTGTAGAGGGCGCACATGTGGCCGGTCCATAGGTTAGTGAGCAACCAGAAGTGGGCAACACGTAGGAAATTTGGAAGGCCAACACTTGTTCACACAAAATCCGTAAGCCGTCAAGTAGGCATTCAAACAGCCAACCAATCAATCAGCGTGGGGAAGAGATCAATACTAATATGTGATTTTAAAACTGAATTCGTCGTGTATATTGGCAAATAAAGCGTGGATTGAAAAGCTAGGAAGCACTGGACAGCTGTTTTGACCTGATTGGGTCTCATCGGCAGTGAGTGAATCCATCGACCCAACTGGGGATAGCGAACCCGGGACCTCATGTCAGAACGCAAGTATGCTACCCACTCGTTCACCGGGCAGCTGATTAAACCATTTTTCGTTTTCCATTTGCACGATATAACACAACCCATCTTTGCGAGCTTGTTGCGGGCCACAGACCCTGCTCATCTCCGCACTAGCCTTCAGGGTTATGACTAGGGCTGGAAACTTTAACAACCTGGCTACTGATTTAAAGTGAGTAATAAAGGGTTTGATTCAATTTCGAAACCAATCCGGTGGCATGTACTTGAGCTGACCTGACTGGGTGAACCATCGATCTCATGAATGGTCATCTGGAAGCTGTTTCGCAGTGTGCGCGCATTGTCACCTCATCTTCAGGCACGACAACCAAAGTAATATGCCATAGAAACGCTTTTAAGCAATCGCATAGATACATACCTAGTTACGAAAAGAACAACATAAAGGAGGGGAATGTGGTGCCTCAGAATAAAATTTATCACATACACTTGCACTCGTAAGCTTGCGAACACGAAACCTGAAGGGTAGAGTACAAGCATACTATACAAATAACTACCGGACAGAAGCTGATCAAACCGGTTCACGACGAGACTGCACCTTGACGTGGTGTGATGGCTTATGCACCTCTGTGACCCAACGAGCTACGCCGGATGGCTTTTGTCAAGCCAGGAGATCTTATCATGTGTGGAAGGTCAATGGGTAGAGGTCAGACGAATTTCAGTCTCCTGGTCCTCCAAATTAGGCGTTTGACAGGAACTTGCGTTTCAGTCGGTAAAATGCGGTGGAGGAATAATCGATCCAAGTAAATGGACCTCCGCTTCACTTCACCCGCTGCCTTGCAGTTAGGTTCTTGTTAGAACTAAATTCTTTGGCCGGGAACACTAATCGTTCTCCTGCTTAGTGACTGGACACCCTAGCAGTACCCCTCCATCAAACCCCAATGCATACACAAAATAGAAATAATTTCATACTGCACCGGTCGTCGCGCAGGATAATCAGGACCGCGCTGACCATTGTATCGAGCGGGGTGGGTAGTGATAGGTGGGCTACTGCTCAGGTTTCCCAACCCCTGTTTAACTCTGTCTTCTGTACCCAACCCTC